ATGCAATTCTTTGAACATCTCGATCACGACTCTGAATAATCTTATGATTTTGATAGAGCAGACATAGCATTTGATTTCTGATCTCATGGTCTTAGTAACTCAAAACGGCCAAAAATATCAGATAGAACGTTGCAATTCTGAGGTACCGAAGTTCCAACTCGTACAAGTCTCAACGTGAACTAACTAGACGCTGTACTACATGTATGGTTTTTGTCTATTTTTCTCATTCGCCATAAATATCTGCCTACCTGCAGACCTTCTGCAACTGTATCCTCGTATATCAGATCTTCATTCTTAGGCTATCTAAGCATTTTAGTGGATAATGCATGCTTGCAGCTTAAAATCGATCTATCTTTTTATGGTGAAAACGTTAACGTATTCATAGTTAAAACTTAACTTGCAGCGACATTAAAGCAGGGCATAGACTTAAGACTTGTTAGAGTTAATATATCCATTAATTAGTCCAGTATGCGGGTTGGTGGATGTTACTGAAATAGAGATTGAGAAGTGGGAAAGGGGGGGGGGAGCAGGGTAGAAAGATAGAGAGGAAGGAAGAAAGAAAAGGGGAAAGAGAGTGAGGGAGAAAGAGAGACAGAAGCATACACGTGATATAAAGAGGGAGAGAAGGGGAGAGAGAGAGAGAGAGAGAGAGAGAGAGAGAGAGAGAGAGAGAGAGAGAGAGAGAGAGAGAGAGAGAGAGAGAGAGAGAGAGAGAGAGAGGGGGGGGGGGTGCCATAACAATTTAAGAGTCACAGCTGGCAGACAGGTCAGCCTTTCACTCATCATGGAGATATCCCAGCAAGTTATTCCTAAAAAAAAAATACAGCGTAATGGCCAGGTCATTAGCCTCACATGGCCTTACTTGTAGGTCATATTAATATACATGTATATAATAATAACATTGTACATGTACCACATTCTAATGTCTTGAATAACGCAGCTGGTAGCTTTCATCAGCGTTGATTCATTCTAGTCGAAACTAGTTTATTTTCGTTAATCACCCCATTAGACATACGGTATGTAAATTGTGAATCACTTCACCTAGTCCTTTATTAATGCCCGCAAACTAGTTCGGGTTCGAAAGTCAAGTTTCCGCATGTCTGTCAAACATGCCTCAGCGCTAGGGTGAAAAGTGTCTCAGAACAAGAGCAACACAATTTTTAAATGTTGTGAATTGTTGTGTGTTTGACGGAATAAATAATTGTGAAATTGTGACTATCGTAGAACTTGGATTCGTCGGCTTTAAGGCCTGCACTCTTGGGCGCGTCTGATTTGGTTCACAGGTTAGAAGTCAGTGGTGTTTGCCTCGTTTCAATAGTTAAAGAGCAATTGTTAAAGTACAAAATTAATATACGTACATCTATAGAGTACCCAGAAAACATACTAGCCGTAGCCTTTTCTTCTCCGTGTCTGAACATAATCTTTATTCCCTAGAAGAGTTTTTTTTGCCTGATTCCTGTCTTTTTGGTCTTACGTAACCTTAAGATTTCATGATTCTCCTTTGAGAAAGATGGCGCTTTTTGGATGAAAACCTTTTCTCTTATTTATCGGTAGAGGACACACATTTTTCATCACTTGTTGTGCTTTTATTTTCCTTTCTGAGACACAAAATGATATCATTATTTATTAAAAACTTGTACTGTTTTATTGTTTACTTTTAGTATTCGGCTCTTCTGGGGCTTTGAACGGTAAGGGGTAGAGCTATTAATTGTGGTAGGATGGCTCTGAAGAAGCAATGTACTTCTTTATTAAAATTTCTGTCAGAGGCCTTAATGCCTTGTCTGAAAAGATATGGTGGAAATGTTATGCCCGGCCAGTAAATTAACCAAAGGAACAAAATAGAGTGATCGCCACGTACTCAGGGTCGTTTTCGTCTTTTCTTTATAAGTGTTCAATCCTGTGACTTCGCGATGTTATCTTATATTTTCTTGAATTAATTTTTTTTGTTACGTTCACAAGGTCTTGTTGGGCCCAGATAAGTTTCAATTTCCTTTTCATGACCCTGTTGATTCTATGACGTCTTTATATTATGTGAGCTCCAATCATATTTTAGACGAGAGTCGCTCATCTGGACTATTCCGAGCAACCAGGCCCGAAAGAAAATAAAAAATCGACAACTTGTGAATTTTTTGTTGCTCTTATCTCTTGAAAGTTTGGTGTTTTTGGTTTCAATTTTTCCTCAAGGAGAAACACTTTTACGATACCATGTGCGTGTACAGGGTGATCCCACAAAAATACAAGAACTTTGCAACTTTGTTTTTCAGAAAATCTTACACAAATTACAGATATAATTCATTCAAAAGGAATTTGTGTGACATAAAGTTCATAGGGAAAAAGCTTATTTTCGAAAACGGAAAGTTACCTCCCCCCTCCACAAAAACTCACGCATAAACGCAATATGCACCAATTTTTAAAAAAAATCTTATAAGGAAGGTCATGAAATGATTGGGTCCCCTCTCCAACTTTGTTTTCAATTTAAGATCTTAGTTTCCCATCCCTGTAACATTTAAACAATACTTATTTTCTCTTACAGAGTTTAAAAAATATTTTATAAATTCTGACATTCCGAGAATCAGTGCTCTAGATCTATGTTAATATGGACTTTGACAAGGAACCAAATGTCATCGAGGAAATGTTTACGCTTTTCAAGACGATTGAGGAATTATGAACACATTGCTATCCTCTGATCCATGTCAGCCTCGCCAGCAGGAAAATAGTACAGTCGTAAATGAAGATCTGGCTACTGACAGACGTCTCATGGGACTAATCTACTATGTAGTGTCATTAAAGGGGTGCGAATGGTATATGTTTGACCTGAAGTGGTCGTTTTGTCGGGGAAATTTTAGTTTTGATTCTCTACAGGTCCTAACTGATGGAACATCTCCACCTTTGACATCAGAGAAACCTAAACACTATTTCCATACCTTGTGCGTAACTTACGAAATGAGTTAGGGGCGCGGTAATCTTCAAGACAAAAAGCTTTCTTCTCTTTACTTATCTTAACCATGTTCTCAACACGCGCAGGAAACTTGAGAAAAACAATTTCTGCAAACTTCTGTTGGCTTGTTAGACAACTCATGTGGCTTTCAATATATCATATCGGTGGGACTTAAGGCCTATGCCTTATGCGTCATGCTACAAAAATGGGGACATAGCTGAAAGTAGTTTTTTGTTTGTTTTGGAAACGCTATGTAGAGCAAAACTGTTCTGTGGATTTATCTAAAATGAATATCAGCCAATTTCCTTTTGACTTCCAAATGTTGTGTACACATTTGAAACGCAAAGATTCAGTGTGGAGTAAAATATGAACAAAAAAAGTTGTAATTAAAGTATTTCGTATTTTATTTATTTTTGAACTGAAGTGTGAGTGGTTCGACGTAACATAATGCTCAACTTCGGAACTCGTTATCTCATTTTCATGTTTCCGCACCTTGCAGTATTAAGTTTCCATACTTTCGGCTATTATCGTCCTAGCGACTTCATTATTTTAAAACTGTTCAGAAAAATTAAATGTGATAATTTTTGACAAAAGCTACTCATCTCTGTGATTTGCGACTTACATCTAAGTTTGATTGGCTCTGACACAATTGGTTCTTTCTTCTCAGCCTCCCAATGTTCTCCTCTTGTTTTGTACACGACTATGTTGATGCTTTTTTTCTGCATCCTTATTATATCAACTATATAAACGTTTTTTTTGGTTGTTTTTTTAAAGTAGCTCCTGTCACACGTCTTTTCCCCCAGTTATTCAGAAGGAGACGTGTTGCACTGGTCTCCTTGCGAGGGATTTAATGGAAATTATACTTCATCTCTAAGAACAACTAAACCATAATATCTTCCTCTGCTCTAAAAAGAAAGCATGGTCTCCAAGCGAGAGGTTTAAAGGAAATAGTCGGTTTCTATGCAACACCAAAGCACAGCTAAACCATATCTTCCTCTGTTCTAAAAAAATAGCTGCAAAATATCCTACACAAATGAAATAACCACCACAGTCATAAGAAAAAATAAAGTGGTACATCCCTCCACTTATACGTAATTTCGTTCAGGAAAGTATTGAATGAAATACATTGGCCCTACATTATGTTTAATGTTTATGTTTATGAGCACCTGCAGGTGGTATAGACAGGTAGGTATGTATGTACGCGCGCGCGCGTGTGTGTGTGTGTGTGTGTGTGTGTGTGTGTGTGTGTATGTGAGGGAGAGAGAGAGGGAGGGCAGAAAGAGAAAAGAGGGAGAAGTGGCCAGCGTATTTGTGTTAGTG